ATTGGTGTCTTCTTCTTCATTCCCCCTATAGAGGGAATTATTTTCAGTAGTGAATTCAAAACAAGGATGAATGTCAACTTTCAAATTTTGTCGTTCGGAGCAATGTATCTAGAAAACTAAAAAACTTTAAAATTTATAAAAAGCAATGGCGACATCTCTAGTTCGAATTATCGTTGTAAAACGATAATTCGAACTAGAGATAACTAAACGTGATTTTCCATTTTCAATTTAGTACTGTAAAGTAAACATAAATACAAGGAAAATTTTTGACTTATTGTTAAAGCTATCCATTCCCTACGCACATATTTAGATCAAAAAGATAAATTAGCGAAGGTACGAAGCTTTCATGTGAAACAACGGCCACAACTGGTATTTTAGTTTAATCTAGTATTATTATTTAGAAATATTATTTCACCAAACTGTTTATTTATTTTTAGTTATAAATATTGTTAATATGTGGCATAAATTATTGTTTAATTTAGTCTTTATTCTTAAAACTAGGTCTAACCGACCCATTTTCTTTGAGGTCCAGTGTAGATGTGGAAATTAACAGTTTAGAAAGTCAATTCGATAGAAAATTAGAACAGTACAGTTATTGGTGAAGATGAACTATTAAAAATACACCTAAGCTTTAAATCTACTTGTATAAATTCGTTAAAAATGTACAATAAATACTTGGAAATGTTAATTAACACAAACTCGCGCGAAGTTTGATAACCGACTACATGGAATCGAGGAAGAAACCTTATTCAAAGGTGTTATCTATTGCGCTACATTGCTCTTGATGGTGATTCTTATAATATGGCACATAATATATGTGTGTCGGAACTTCTTATAGTAATGTTTCTCTATCGATTAAAAATATTTATATACGAAAAAGTGCGTGCCCCTATTGTAAACATTTACCAAAAATTCTATATATAATTTTATAATTGTTAACAAACAATTTAGATTGAAATTGTAACTATATAACTATTGTTTCTTAGAACTTTAAAACGTACATGTTAAAGTTTCAATTTAGATGAGGATTATTAATAAATTGGTAGAGAAGGGAAGTGGCTTACACATTTTGCCCCCACCTGTCGAAGCCTTTCGTTAGACATCCGTTTTCCACATATGGGAGGTAAGTAAACGCCTTGGATGGTAAGTAATCTCTCAGTAGGAAATGACAGTCACAGGTGCGCCCCCGACGCCAACTGCTAATAGCTTTTAGACAGCGAGGCCTTATAGGGATGCTCATTTTGTCGACAGACATTGTGATATTTTTCGTGTGGCAGGGCCACGCAGCAGCCTTGGCTGTTGCACGAATGGGCAGGCTCGTACGGGTAAGTACCACGACCTCATGGAAGACCGGCTTGAAGTGGAAGTATACTACTCTCGAGTTCCGTCTGGTGAGTGAGGTAGCCGAAGCCTAATTTCCAAAAGGTTGTCAACGCATCTGCAACGTAAGTATATTTTATTTATTAAAAAAATAAACAGACTTCACTTTATCCCAAATCGATGCGCATTTATTTGAAATAATTAGCAATTTAATGATTTACGCGCGGGCACATGACTATAAATAATCCGGGTAAGCTTTCGCGTCGCTCATAACAGCTTAATTAATATCGCTATTTAAATGTGAAACGAATTGAATTAAAATCCCTTAGCCGTGTTATAAAATGCTCGGGCTTAAAATATGAATAAACCGGTGTTGTTATCATTGTACTAATGCCCTTATTAAGGTAGTTTATGGTCATGCCATAATGCGATGGTGATCATTATTTTATCCTCCCTTCCTCTACTTCTCTATGATATGACGTTTTAATATATGTATGTCCTTTATAATTTATTAAATTCGTAGCTAATGTAATCGTTCTATATATAGGTCCTTGAAAATGTATTAATATCGATAAATATACTTTCCCATCACTACGTCGTTACTGAGATGACATACAATAATGGCCGACGTGCAACGCCATCTGGTACCAACGCAGCTGAATTAGCTGCCACGTGGCCGTCTTCAGCTGAAATTGGTACGTACGACCGAACCAAGTTTATGCTTACATGCGCTTTAATTAAAACCCAAGCGATATTAGTCCCTCAGCAGCATGGATAAGAACGCTATGTACACGGAGACGATATTCTGGTAACGTAAAGCCGATGCTGAAAACTTTAGACATTGTTACAGGTGCTAGTAAGAGGTTGTAAAGCCTATTAAGGCGTTTCAAGTAAACAGCGCTCATGTAACATTAAGTAAGATGACTTTAAATTACTAAGGCAGCTTTATTGTTTACATGGATGGTGAGCTGTGAAGAAAATGTTCTTTTTGCATTTAAACATTTTGGTTCATCTTGTGTTTGTTACTTGAAAGTGATTAAGAGTTTATGGCAGTTACGAATTTTTTTTTGAGAAAATCATAAACGATTGATAATTAGATAAAAAACATATGTTTTGTTACTATCTTTAAAACGAACCTTAATTATTTTGAAAATACTGTCAAATTAAAAAACAACGTTATTGAGTACACTACATCAAACCTTACAGTGTTTACGCGATTTATGACCGATAGTAATAATGTTGAAACATGCTTTCAATTTAATCAACTACAATCACGAAATGGATTCAGCTTCAAGCTGTTCTATCATACTTATTCGATTTAAAAATGAATCATTATTTTGTATTGCCCGATTGTTTAAAATAATAACTATTTTAAGTTGACATCAAAAGAAAGTTGAAGTTCCTACAGGATGCTAAACATACTACAACTATAAGCAAATTCGAGTTACATAAAACATTATCGTACTTGAAGTTGACTGAAGATTTGAGTAAGATTGCGAGTATGTACAAACTACATCTATCTAAATCATTTAATTTTTTTATGTTACCTAAAGCTTTGGTATTTCCGATTAATATTACTCCTATCGCAAGCACCGCTAGTATGGCATGCGACAGAAAATGAAATGATTATTACATTTATCTGAATAAATTTAGTAATTATTATAATGGTTCATCGCTGTATCTTTGCAATTTATAATATTTCACATTAAATATTATCTGCTTACAGGTTGTATTTTCACTTGTCTGTATTTAGAAAATTCCCAAGCAGAGCACCCTCGAATCGAAATACTAAACGGATATTGAGCAACAGCCCAAACTGAGGTCCTCGCTCGGGAGCCCTTGAGCCTAGTTACTCCATTAAGCGTCCGCCAAAGCTTGGCCTCTCAAACCGGTGATTTCAAGAATAAGGTGACGGCCCTTATCAAAACTCCCCCGGGAGCCCTCGATCTGAGTCACTCATTAACGAGGTACAGGCTAAGCGCACCTCAAGCCCAGTGAATCTGTTAAGGCCTCCTCAAGGCCAACAGTGGACGATCCAAACAAAAAACGACTCGCGTATGTCATTCATAACGTCATATTAATAACGTCCGTAACAGAGCCGCGTTCGTCTCCGGCCGGCTAAGCACTTTAACTAACCAGTCAAGTAAAATGTCCTTAAGACACAAATTACTTTTATACAAAGCTTGCGTACGGCCAATCATGTCCTACGCATGCATGATTTTCGCCCACACTTACCCTACTCGCTTGCACAAGTTGCAAGTAGTGCAAAATAAGTTCATCCGCCGCGCAACCGGTGCGCAGTGGTATCAACGCAACGTCGACCTACACAGTGATTGCAGACTCCCGATGATTCGCGAATTTTTCAAAGACCTGACCAAATGGTTCTTCGATAGAGCCGAACATCATCCCAACCCTCTGGTGGTGAGCGCAGCAAAATACCAACCCGATCCAAACGCGAGCGTCAACAAGCGTCGCCCGCGAAACGTCCTCATCGACCCGGTCGAGGAAGGGGTCTTAGGTACGTCGGACCCACCGTCGGGGGTCCCGCCGGATAACACTACACACACAGTTAGTGTAGCAACAAACACATTAGTTCGCCCTCGCCTCCGAGCACGGCGAGACCAACACAACGCGTACACAAGGTACACCCGCGTTCCAGGGCGGTTCTCACCGCCCCCAGCCACCGATTAGCTAAAAACACAACGGCCATCGGGGTCCCGGTCCGCACCGCTACTTCGATGGCCCTTAGATGACATGCCGTAGTTAAACGCACGCATGAGCACATGCGCGGCCCTACCCACAGCGGAGGGCCCAAACTCGTGGGTTCTGGCTAGCCCACCGGTTCTGCGTCAGATGAAGCTTTAATAGTCTCTGGACTGAAAGCACAAACATCAGTTAATACAAGATAATACAAGCAAAAAAATCTAGTAAGCAACCTTATTATGTCCGAAGTCTTGCCTCTTCCATCCATAATAAAGGAGTTATAAGAGTGGAAAAATTGATACAGCTTGCGATACATTTGGATCCAATATAAGAGATCAAATTAAATATATAATTTTACTCTGTGTATTAGCATAATTAGCCAAAAAAAAAATTCTAAACAGAATGTTTTGTTTCTTATATTTTGCAACTTCCATCATAGTAAGTAAGCACACAGTATGCTTAGCAACTTAGATGTTGAAAATTTAAAAATATTGAGCGTAATTGTCATTACGTCTTTCATTTTTAAATTCAATTTGCTTCATATCTCCGAAGCCGGCAGATAAGGTCATAAATCCTTATCCGTCTCCCGTTGTCTAGAAAAGGAAAATCTGAAAGCGTCCCTCGCATAACGTCACCGATTTATCACTCCCGCTGTGCCATCTATCACTCCATTAAACGCGACGCAACGGCCCTGGCTCGCAGCGAAAACGTATGGTAGGGGATGCTTCCCCGTTCGAGTTTTCATCAGTCCGAGTCCATACGCAGCAGGGGATGCACGTATGGATGGCTCGAAAAGAGCGGGAAATCGCGCAGTAAAGTTCGAAACTTGAATGAGACGATCTTTAAACATGACTAGAAACGTTGACTGTGAATTGTTGAAAAGTGTGTTTAAAACAAAATGGTAGGCGGAACGTTAAAGTGTACGAAAGTGCAAGAAAAAACAAAACTTGTAAGACGTTGGTGATCAATATATTAAAATGGATAAATCTAACTGGATTTTGTATTTCCTCTTTGCATCATTACACTACAGTGAGTATTTAATATTGCAACTAGATGTTAATAAGACTTCATTAACATAAATAAAGGATTTATAAATAATAAATAACAAAATGAACAAATAAAATAATAAAGCGTATACTAAGCCCGTTTTAGCTGATATGCGGGTTTAAAAAGAATAAAATTATGTACTTTCCTACATACTCGTAGTTAAATATGATTAAGGAGAGGAGAAACCACAAATGCCGAGCCTAATGTATAATAAAGGAAGAATGAATTCAAAAAATGACACGCTTTATCTTACAAGTTTATTTTAATATAAATCGTAGTAACTAACGCCAGTTATAAATTGCATTCATTCAGTTCTAAATTGCTCTAAACTGGAATCAGCATTCCGATATTTTTTTTAGCCTCTGAGAATATTTGATTTTGAAACAAATAATGTTCATTTATAATAAACTTGTCCATATTCTTTATAGCACTACGAAATATGAATTAAAAATGATATTTTAGCACCGTTTACCACATGAACAACTTACAATAAAATCATGAAACCTTATAAAATTACTTATTTGAAATGAAATTATAAACTTTAGTAAAATCAAATATAAGGTACAAACATTAAAGCAATATTACGAATTTATTTGAAACATAGATAAAATCCTTTGCTTAAAAGGAGATAAAAAATTTTTAGGAAAGAATGTCTAATGTTTGGATGCAGTCCAACGGAATGTCGAATAAAATTCATAGCGGAAATGAAACCCAGAATCCACGGAAAGGACTAAGGAACTAAATCAAAATCCACATAATAAGTCATTTAATAACAAATTGTTGTTGTTGGGGACATGGTCATCATTTATAAAAGTTCCTTTAAGTGATTCGTTACAATTTAATTACTCAAAATATATTTGCTCCTGCTTTAATTTCTTAAAGTAGTCTGAAATGGAATGTAAATATTTGTTTACACCGATGATGAAGTCCGAGGTATTGCACATTCTACAATTAACTTCATGAATATGTGGTGTGTCTTTTCAATTCCGATAGCAAATTGTATGAGTTTTTTATTTTATTGAATTCTTTACCTATTTTTATAAATTAAGCATGACATAGAAGTGACTATAGAAGACTGTCTATAGGGTTCGGCTGCATCCATTTTCACCTAAAATATTATTTTTAATATTATAAAATAAGACTTTACAAGGGCTTAATTGAAACCATATTTTACCAACAATCATTTTATACGTTTGTATTCAAAACAGATTCAGTAAATTTTAAGTACACACATAAAAGAATATAATAATTGGCATAAACAAAAGTCAGACATTATGCTATACCGTCAAATGTTAGAATCCTTTTGACCATTTTTCTCTTCTCTCAGTTTGTATAAAATATTTTGAAGTTCACATTCTACAATTATTAAGCTTCGATTACTATTAATTTTCTTAGTATAGTGGTTCTATAGCGTAAGTTTTGCTTATAATTATTTATTAGTAATAGTAAGTATGATAATTATAATAATTTAAAATACCTTTTAACTGTGGTAAGGCCATGCAACAGCTTTCCCTGTTGCACGAATGGGTAGGTTCTCACCGAAGTAAAGTGTAAGTGTTATACTTCTGCGTTTCGTCTGGTGAGTGAGGTAGCTAGGGCTAAAATGTGGCAACGCATCTCTACGAGTGTTGCAAATATCAAAGGCCGGCGGTTATCACTTAAAATCAGGTGAACCGCCAGCTCATTTGGTACCTTCTGAGATTTAAAAAGAGATCTGAATTGAATATTTTGTTATTAAATATCCTAGAAATTTTCCATTAGTTGCTATAGAGCTTGTTCTTCATAGATAAATTGGTACATTTGTGATTGTACTTGATGAATTAAATAAAATTGCTTTTTTAATTTCAAGCTTTTTGAGTTATTGAACTTCGGAACTAGAACAAATATCAATTATTTAAACATATTTTTTTTAATTTCAATTTTGGTCATGCACCTACGGAATACTCACTCTCTTATATTCGATTTCCCGGTAATAACTGAACCGGGAAGAGAAGAGCATTTGCATTCGAACCACAATAGTCCACTTATGTTCCAGGGCAATTATTACCTCCTCCAGACCGCGATTAGGACAATCAACGACCATCAGGGCCACGGGCCGAATCGGAACCGGATAATACGGGACGTATTTGATAAATGCCACCCTTGATAGATAACGCACGCATGAACACACGGGCGGCCATCCAGCATGGTCGAATCGAGCGTATCAAGCTCAGTGTTTGCTGAGGCTTTAATAATATGTTGTCTGAAATCGACATTATTCAATAAACACAAATATAATCCAGCATAATTACGATTTGATTTAAAGAAATATTCTTACAGATGGTTTCTGGAGTGTGATTAGAACAGAATTTTAAAATAAAACGATAATGTGACTGCACGTGATGACAATACTTATGTCTCATTTCTCGTCGTTAATTGTTATATCTATTTTTTACATATTGTACTTATTCTTATTACGTTTATATAGTATTCACTCCTTTTTTCACAGTGATACATAAATACAGCACAAACAGACAGAAGCATCCCGAGGTTAAAATATATTGGTATTCCTTTTCATTGGCTTGTATTATTGTAAATAAGATAAAACTCCATGTCCCTTTGCTACTTTAACGAGATCTATACTTCCAGTATTATAATTCGACAACAGCGAACCTTTCAACTTTTACGGGTATGGATATACTTACGGCTGTTTCACTTTTACCGGCATTTCAAAAGTTATACGTCCTCCGTTGTGTTTCGCTTTGTTCTCGCCTAACCTCAGGCGACGGATACCTAAATTTGAATTCCACACCCGCCCAAGAAAAGGGACGCTTGTTACAAAAGTTGGAACGGACTTGAACAAGTGTGAGGAGGCGTGTAACTTTGAAACGCAACTCGAGTGTACGAGTAATTTTTGAAGTTTTAACGACGTTGCAGCGTCACTCAGACGCGCTCCACTTAGGGAGTTCTCGCTTTGACACAAGAACACCGCCCAGATGGGTTCTTGTGACAATATTAGTGTTAAATGGTGCTGAATTCACTGAATTAAAAACTTCCCGACTAACAGTGGTGGTGGTCTAATGGTTGTAACAAAGACTTGCTTCCGATCGCGTGTTAGAATCTCTACCGATGTGACTTTTCGTATTCGATTCATTGTTGTATCAGGATCACATACCAATCAATACCTTTGGGTCAAAACAGGGTGAACGAAAATGGCTTTATATTACGCTATAAGAAGATAGATAAGCAACTTCACAGGAAATCGACACGTGATGTATGGTAAATGGTTCGATATTTAAACAAAATATTGAAAGAATTATAACAGCAAACTGATATTACTACCTCCTCCAGACCTCGATTAATACAATGATATCTACTGACAATGATTCGATCGGATTCATAATGTAAGGGAAAGTTCGCTATAATTATGCTTAATTCAAAGTGGGTGCAGAGTTCCCTTTTATTGACCAACGGAAAACTTACCTAAGGTGCCGCAATATTTTGTCAATGTCATATTCTCCTTTACTTAAAATCGATTATGTTGCAGTTACAAAAAAGTGAATTAGTACTATTATGTACGTACAGTATACATGATAAGAATAATCTATTTTCATAAAGATTTAATAGAATGTTGAAGAAAAAACATATTGCTTTTTCATGTCAATGTAGATATGTTTAAGTCATGATTTCTTTTTTTACGCAAGTATTATTTTAATAATTAATTGTATAGTTAATATTGAACTGTGGTGGGGCCACGCAACAGTCTTCACTGTTGAACGAATTGGCATGCTCGCCAGTGTGAAGTGGAGGAATTATAGTTTTTCGTTTCTCGTGAGTGAGGTAGCCGGGGTAGAATAAGCCACATTATTAAAAGGGGGCTACGCATCTGCAACCCTGCAGGTGTTGCACATGCTCATGGGTGGCGGTCATCACTTAACATCAGGTGAACCGCCACCTTCTCACATAATAAATTTATAATTCCCGAAGTTTAGAGCATTTAATTAGAATTCAAGGTCCAGGCCAGACTGAGATATTATATGTGAACCACTCGTGAATATGAACATGTCTAATGATGATAAAACATTTTGTTACAGTTGTCGCAATATCGTTACACAGTATTGAAGATGTAGGGAAGCGGAAACATGGGGAAGACAATGAACGGTACGTAAAGAAGTTATTTTCAGTATAATTTGACGACCCGATTGGCGAAGTGGATAGTGAACCCGTCTCTTGCGCCAGGGTGTGTGGGTTCATTCCCCACTACTGGAAAAATATTATATGATAGTGTTTTTCTAGTTTCTGAGTATTTATTTTATTTGAAGATAATTTTAACTTATTAAAAAGAAAATTGCCCACTCGTATCAATCTCGTCTTAAAATAAATAAATAAACTATAAAAGATCAAACAATTCTTCAGCATTCATGAAACAAACTGTAAAATACCAATTTCAAAGTTATAACAACGTAGAAAAATACACACGGTTGGCAGATACAATAAATCGTTTGCTATTGTTCAAAGCTATTGTGTTCCAGATACACGGGATACTGTGCCAGAATTTATATCTTTACTCTAGAATTTATTTTGCTTGTCCTGTTGCGTGTATTGTTGTGTTCTAGTATCAATTATTCCAAAATAAGTAGGCTCTGTGAATGCAGTTGCAAAGTAATCACATCTAAAATCTGCCCATGAATATTTTATCTCGACTAACATATACTAATCTTAATCGTATCTAAGCTGCTATAAAATTTTTAAGCCTCGCATGATAAGGAGACAAAGGATGAATGAAAACTATCTTATTTGTCTTACTGTTTGATCTGAAAATCATTCAAAAATCAATATTTCCGTGAAAAAGTACAAGTGTTGTTGTATTACTAACACATATTACTTCTTACGTGTAAAGGAATAAACGTTATTGGTTCATAATTTTAATACGTACGATCTATTAAAACTATACAGCCATTCAATTTTGTCTCCATTGAGTCTCCAAATTGTTTCTATTGTTTGCATGAAAATATTTTTATTCACATGGAACAATTACTGATTTCGCTTTGGTAAATTGGATTTCCAGGTTAGTGCTGCATATATTTTACCATAGATTTTTAGTATTTAAGGAATCTTCTATCAAAAGATCTGAATGAATATATTTCTATCCAATGTATAAAATTCTCGTGTCACGGTGTTTGTAATTGAACTCCTCCGAAACGGCTCGACCGATTTTCGTGAAATTTTGTGTGCATATCGGCCAGGGTGAAGAATCGGACAACATCTATTTTTCAACCCCCTTAATGTTAAGGGTGGTCCATCTCTAATTTTTTTTCTACCCTACAATTAATTTATATGGCAAAACAACGTTTGCCAGGTCAGCTAGTTTAATAAATAACATGTCATGTCTTATAAATATTAAACGTAAATTATACAATTAATGACTAAATTTGCCACTTTTCATGTAAACTGTAATCTAATAAGAGTGAAATGAATATTTTATTTCTCTGTTTATTTATGTAAGTAAGCTGCTTCTTCAAGCTTCACTTACACCTCATTAAAAATAATTGGAACCACTGGTGTCCTTTTATTTCAGAACGATAACTGATATCTGGAAAAACGAAACAATGTACAGGAATTTCGGAACGAATCGAAATTCGGGAAATGTCGGTGAGTAGACAACTTTACCCTGAGTTATTTATTTTATAACTTCTTGTTATTTCATAAATATTTGTCTTGGCGTTTCTAATCACAATGAATATCAAACGTAGAGTTTCATTATCACGTAAATTTAACTGATTAATGAAAAAAAAAATGCTGTTCCAAACACACGCACACACGAAAACATACACAGTCAGTCGTGTAAAAAATTAAATAATATGCAAATGTTGTTAATATTTATTAAAAATCTTTTGTTGTTAAACTATTATTGACATCGTCGTTATCTATCGACCTCTCCAGGCTCCACTGAAAACCAGTAATCGTGAAATTTTTTTCGCGATGTACTGCTCAGTAGGTGACCTTTTTGGTGCATTGATTGCTAATTTTTCATTGTTATTTTATTATTTTAAGAGTTGTTTTTGTACCAAATTAACATTTCTTTCTTTCTTGATATTAATCACAGACGTAGGAGGCCAATTTGACTTTTTCTAAACATTATTTAATATTTTTGTCATTTTACTAATTTCGGGAGTATGTTCGTAAAAGAGCGATTTTTTCAGGGAACAGAAACAGAATATTGGATAAACCTTTTTAGGGTTCCGTATCCAAAGGGTTAAACGGGACCCTATTACTACGACTCCGCTGTCTGTCTGCTTGTCTGTCCGTCTGTCACCAGGCTGTACCTGATGAACCGTAACAATTAGACAATTGAAATTTTCACATATGACATTTCTGTTGCCGCTATAACAATAAGTACTTAAAAACAGAATAAAAAATATATAAGTGGTGCCACCATAAAACACACATTATTTTTTTGTTGTTTTTATTCGAACTCTATGCGCGAGTCCGACTCGCATGTGGCCTTTTTCTTCATTTTTCGTTGCGTTGAGATAGTGCTGCGATAAATAAATCGGCCTATGTTCCTCAAAGTCTCACTTAATGAGATAAAATACCTTAATATTGCTTAATTTTCGACAGACTCAATTAAAAGGTATAGAAGAAGATTACAAATGGTAATATCTCAACACTTCAGCGAAACTACTGTTACACCAGGTGTGGATGTAAGTATTTTTGTATTATATATAATTTTTGTATATGATATAATTTTTGCTAATTTTGTATTATAATCTAATTTATACTTTCATTGTGATTGACTAAAAAAACAAATTATAACAATTGATAATTTTAACAGCTGTTACAAATTTATATTTCGAAAGCTATGAACTGGTACATACTTAATTTTTAACCGACGTAAAAAACGGAAAAGGTTCTCAATTCGACTGTATTTTTTTATATTTTTTTTTATATTTTTTTTATATTTTTTTTATATTTTTTTACCTCAGAACTTTCGACTGAGTGAACTGATTTTGATGATTCTTTTTTTTATTTGAAAGTTGTTCCTTCCCAGATGGTCCCTTATCAATTTCATTGGTATTGGATCTTAAGCCCCGAGGATACGAAGGGAACTGCTGAAAATCAATTATAAAATGAATACAGAGCGAAATATTGGAAGTCGGTTTTGTTTTTCGTTCCTAAAAAAAAGACTTGTATTACTTGTATTATTATTATTATTACATAACATTATTTATAGCGAGCTGGCGATTCATCTGATGTTAAGTTATAACCGCCGCCCGGCCGAGTGTGTGTTGACGTGGCACTTACCCAGACGGACCTGCCCATTCGTGCAACAGCGAAGACTGTTACGTGGCCCTACCACAGATAATATACATAATCATAGATTATTAATCAATATTTCAAAATGACTGTTGGCTATTGAAAATTAATATTTCATACTTAGTTGTGACCTTATACTGAAATATTGTTGTAGGTTACCTTACAGTGTACAGTCAATGGCCCCCATCCGGCGAGATTTGTTTGGGAAAGGGATAAAATTGTGATATCTTCTAATACAGATTCCAGGCAAGTACCTATGTATGTACATTCAAGTAAAGTAAAAAAAAGTAAAGTAACAGCCTATACATGTCCCACTGTTGGGCAAAGGCCTCCTCTATACAGAGGGTATCAGGGCATAGACCACCACGCGGCCCCACTGCGGATTGGCGGACTTCACATATCTTCGAAATATTTTGTTTGTTATTATTTCGAAAATATGCAGGTTTCCTCACGATGTTTTCCTTCACCGCGGAGCACGTGATAAGTCAGCACTTAAAGTTAAAAACTTCATTGGTGCCGGCACCGGGGATCGAACTCAGGTTGCTCGAGTTAAGGGAGAATTAAAGGCGAGCGCCCGGACACTGAGCTATCTAGCACATTCAAGTGACTGTTAAGAACTTTCGTTACAGAAAGTTTCATAGGCTGATAGGCTGGCGCTTGTAATGAAGCAATTTTAGAAATTACATACTCGTAATAAGTTGCCAGAAAACTTGGTTTATGTGTAAACAAACATTTACATTAATCAGCTATTCGAAAAGCACGTATTATTGTATTCTAGTTATTGCAAATCACGAATGCGTGCATTCTTTACTTTTTTCGAAGTCGTATTTTTACACATGTGAATGTGTGCTTTCGCCTGGAAGTGGTACGGGTTGCAAAAAATTGTGATAGTTTTAATTAGATAGAGGACTCCGTGGCGCAATGGTAAGGTATTGGCTTCGGCGAAGGCTTAAACATTGGAATCGATGGTGAAAACCAGCGTAAATTTGCTAAAAGAGTAACGGTTAGAATTGATTTTTTTTTTTTCATTTAGATATACCATTGGTCAAACTATGACCGCAGAAGGCGGTGTGACAACACAATTAAATATATCACACATAAGGGTTGACGATGGCGGACTTTATGCCTGTGTCGCTCACCACGTAGACTCAGTAGTTGCTCACGAAGACCGAATTAATATTTACGGTAAGAGCGAACAGATTTAAATTACATTACTGATTGGGTTTACATCATATTTCTTTCCGAAATGTTTACCGTGTTATATCCAAATATTTGTTTGTTTATGACGATAAAGGTATTAAAATTATCGGTTGTTTTATAACGATAAATCTATATCTGAAAATAAAAACTTTAATTTGAGAAAATGAGCAGCGTCGGAGTGGGTTCGATTCTCACACGGGACAACTACTTGTGTTGCCCACAGATAGTTGTTACGCATCTGCGTGTTTTCCGCGCGAAATTTATGTTTTTAAAACATCCCTATAACACAGGATAACGTTATCCTAAAGTTAGAGCAGTATTTAAAAAAAACGTGAAAGACGCATTGTTTCTGACAATCTTAATTTTTGTAATTCATTGCGTTAAATAAACTGAAAACTGCCTTAGATTTCCTTTCTACGCTAAGAGAATTTTAAAACCTGAAATGTAATGTAAAAATTGCAATTGAGCGTTATAAATTAATTCCTTCGCATATTTTATATTCCTACCCAATTTATTGATTAATTATTTGGTCTCTTAAATGCTAGGACCACCATATATACGGACGTTACCACCTTTCAAAGTGCAAAGTGGTCAACGGGTAACGGTGCGTTGCCCATACTATGGTTACCCAATAAGGTAAGTACGAAAACGCTAATATATCGTACATTTAATCGTTCATTTTAGCTGACGCAACATTTTTACAGAGAAATAACATGGGAGTATAAAGGGAAAGAAATAGCGAAGGATGCAACGCAGCCGCATCGATTTAAGAGATTCACCAATGAAACGGCTCTTAGCGTAGAGATATTTGGACGTAAGCCCAAATTAAGACAGAAACGAGACTTAGCAAGCTTCTCGAGAGACGGCGTGTTGAATATCGTGAAAGTCAGCAAAAGCGACAACGGGGCAGCCTACGCTTGTATAGTGAGAAGTCCCTCTGGTGAAATGGCGAAAAGGTCGTTTGAGCTTCAAGTGGTGGAAGCTCCGCAATTAGAAGAAATTCTACTAGCATCCGACCTCCAGGAGGGGCAAATTGTGCAAATCCACTGCAATCTTAAAAGTGGTGACTCCCCAGTGTATTACTCTTGGTTGAAGGATGGCAAAAAGATACCAACACATTTAAAGGTATTTATTAACCTATCGAAATATTCATCTCCAATATAGATCTCAAGAATTATTCAAGAAGCCGTACAGAATTCGATGTGTCAGATAAATTTTCAATGGAGCATTAAGTCGCAGGAGCGTAAACATGTATTTACTTATTCATTAATTCGTGTGTCGGTTAACATAAGAAATTCTAAATGTGCGTGTTGATAAAGGATAGGATCTTATAATTTTCGTTATTAACTTTAATGTTATTTTTTTCAATATCTCACATCCGCTTTTCTTTTGTGCCAATCAGATAGTCGAAAGAAGCCTTGAGGTATTTAGTGTCCTCATCATAAAAAATGTCTCGTTGGACCACTGTGGGACGTATACTTGTGTGGCCGCTAATCACGTGGCCAAAGTAAACAAAACTGTTAATCTGTACATTAAAGGTAAAGTCAAAGATACCATTTACCCTTTAATTATAAGTTTGAAATACTCAGAAAATTTTTGAATTCAATTAAAGTAGAGTAGAGTAAGATTGAATTTTAAATGATGAATGCGTAAACAAAATAAAGATGAAACACTAAGATATAAGAAATTTTATTCCTAATCAAATATTTTTGGAATAAGTTACAATATGCAATAATCACTTTTGCAGTTGCTCCTAAATGGAGTGAGGAGCCGCAAAACACCTCTTTACTTCTAGGGAGAAACGGGCATATATCTTGCAGTGCTAATGGATATCCGCAACCACAAACCCATTGGCTGAAAAAGGATGGTAAAGAAAGTCTTGTATTTTTCATTTATTATAATTTGAATTAAGTCTCACTCGGTATTGAGATAAAGATCTCAGAGCACAGGTCGGTACTGTGTAAGTTGAGCCACAACAACGGTGATGTTCTTCCCACAAATTCCGTGATAGACTGGCATCGCCTCGAGGTCAAACAAGGCCTTGGACTCTCAGACTACAGGGATCCTACCCGAGTGATACCCGATAATGAAAGTTGAGCGATAGCAAGCCTCAGATTTCACAAATCTACGGCTGTGGAAAAATCAGAACGAACGATGAAGGTATAAGGTTACCGGTACTTTAACCTTCCGCCTGGTCTCTGGGGCTATTTAGAGAATAAAACCTGGTCCATGGGGTCTATAAGCGATATCGATTAGAATTGAACCGGGTCCGACTCAGTCGCCTCCAACTACAGATAAAAAATAACATCGTACTCTTTTTATACAATCTACAAATATTTATGACTAGCAACGAAGAAATGAAAACTTTTGAAAAATTCAAGGTAAAGAATTAAGGTTCGTAATTATTCAATGCACGGCTTCAACTTCAACATCAATTATTCCAGTGCATTAAGAACACTTATACTGCCGGTGAACACTAATATTATTACTATGTTCCTAGTGATATCGGACGCCTGGAGACCGGTGTTAGAAGTTGCGGGTGGCGGGGTTCTAAGTTTGTCTAATGGCTCACTAATATTTGATGCGGTAGCGTTGTCTGACGCTGGCTTGTACACTTGCCACGTGGAAAACGGCGTCGGTGAGCCTTTAAGTAAAACTATATGGATATCTGTCAACAGTACGTATTGAATATTATATATGTTTAGAAAAAAACCTGGTTAATTAAAAATTACAAGCTTGAATAGGAAGAGTAAACAAATTTATAACATATTATCCTTACAGAGCCAGTTACCTTTGATATCGTATCAAGAAACATGACTGTTAAACTTGGTCAGCATATTACAATTGAGTGTCAGGCAAAGGGTGATGACCCGATTAGGATAATGTGGACGCGAAATGGAACACCTGTAAACCCTTTAACCCAGCGGTGAGATATTTCAAATTTCAAAATAGCAGCGAATGTAGTTAAATGCTTAAATAATTATCCTTGTAAGATCACCTTGAAGAACTGATGTCATTATAATTATAATAATGGTTTAAGTGGTTTCAGTTTGTTTAAGCGTCGGTTTTATTTTGCTTTTGAAAATAATTAATTATACGTGAAAGATAAAATGTCCATGTTTGGAAGTGATGATGTTTCTTGTTGTTTACAGGGTTAAGATATCCGAGACGAAATCAGATGAAGGTCTAACGAATCTTCTAGAAATATTGCAAACGGAAACAACTGATGGTGCCGTATATCAGTGTAGAGCAGGAAACCCTTACGGAGCGGATGTATATACTGTGTTTTTGACAATATTAGGTAATAATTTCTAACATTTAAGGGTTGTTAAAACTACACCCAATGAATTGGAGATAGTTTTACCGATTTACCAATAACTAGCTTTTCGCCCGCGGCTTCGCTCGCGTTGAAGCCCTTAATTAAATATCTTTTCAATAAATATGTTTTAATAAAGATATTTTCAACCCTTTACAACACCTTTTCCAATTAAAAAATAGCCTATGTCCTTTCTCAGGCTCTGGACTATCTGTGTACCAAATTTCATTTAAATCGGTTTAGTATATTTGGCGTGAAAGCGAGACAGACAGACGGAGTTACTTTCGCATTTATATTATTAGTATGGATATTGGCAGCATCGTGGTCGTGGGAGAAACAAATTATTCGAAACATCGAGACTTAAAATTTTACTCAAAACTTTATTAATATAATTCATTTGAATAAATTTAACTCATAATCATCCCTACTTTATTGGTATTATAAATGTGAGTGTAAGTTTGTTTGTTACGCTTTCACGCCGAAACTAGTCAATCGATTAACATGAAACTTCATACACATATTATTAGAGGTATTAAAAAAGACATGTGATTAATTATATTAAAAAATAAAAAAGATATTTATAGGATCCTTTTATTAATAAAAAGAAAAAAAGATATTTATTCAAGAGCTTCAACGCGGGTGGAGCCGCGGGCGAGAAGCTAGTATCTTATAATTTATATCCAAGAATCCACTTCACCGGAACGGAAAAAAAAATTGAACGGTACTCCTTGATTTTAGAACCACCGACGCCACCCTCGGACCTCTCAGTTGATTCAATTAAAAGTCGATCGGTGAAATTGTCTTGGCGGGATTCAACTAGGTCGTTGGCACAATTTTATAATTTACAAATTACTACCAGCCAACGTTTGTCTTGGACTAACGCTAAAACGATTAACGTCACCAGGTAATATTTCTGTTCGCTTAACAAACAATATGTTAATACTTAAACTATCTAAAATGGTTTTAAACAATTATGTATATAAAATACTGCTAACAGAAAATATTTCATCTTTGTCTAGGTTAGATGAAATACGTCACACTGTTGACTTAGGAGACCTACTACCCGCAACAAGCTATACAGCTAGAGTAGCTGGAGGGAACCAGGCGGACTTGAGCTCTTATTCTTTACCCGTAAAGTTTACTACTAGTGAGGAGGGTAATACAACAAAGCGAAAGTTTTATGTAATCAAGGCTAGTTGATTTCAAGAAAATCTTAATCTAATACTCCACATTTACCTTCAGCGCCATCCTCTCCACCATTGGGAGTCCAAATAGAACAAACAGATGCCCCGGGAGAGCTCAGAGCAAAATGGCTCCCGCCGCCCGCAGATACTCATAACGGTTTAATACTTGGCTACCGATTGCGAGCGATACCACAATTAACCGGAGTTAAAGGTACTTACTATAGCTATAATGAACAAACAAAGTAGCTTTCAAAATGTTAGGAAGCCGATAAAATAATAATTGTCAGAGCTCAACAATATCGTAAGCTCATTTTAAGATTTCTGAACTGATTACAAGAATTAATTTATAGATTATAGAATATTTATAAAACTGTGTATAATCCATACAATAGTCTTAATAATTAAAATACGTGCAGAAAGTCAAGATGTCAGCGATAAAATAATCAAGACTTCATCGCTGTATTCAAAACAGGAGACTATCATCACTGGTCTACTGAAAGGTGTGAGGTAAGTCTCAATTGTGTTCTATTTAAGTGTTACTTGGGTCGCCTAAGGTTTCTTATGTATTGTTTATCATTGTAGATACGCAGTTTCAATAGCAGCGTTTAACGGCGCAGGAGCGGGGCCTTTCTCAATAGCGCTATTTCAGGATACAAGAGAAGGAGGTATTGCATTCGATAAATTCTTTAATCGATTAATAAAAATACTCATATTTCATTTTAATATTTTATTACAGCAGTCTAACGAAACTAGACAAATGGTTTACTTAATAAAATTATACAGCTATTGCTGCTTTGCCAGTATCTTAGCCTGACATGGGAAGCCACGGCCGCAAAGAAGCCGAACGTAACGTCAACTTAGAAAGCGTTCATATGTATATGTTACCAGCCAAACCCGATTACAGGACAAACTATTTCTGCCTAGGCTTAACTAGTTCATCCTAAACGCGATAGGAGTAACTAGTATAGCCTAGCTCAAACTAATTTAGCATATGCAGCTTTCAAAAAGAATAAGCAATTATCATCAGCAGCTAAACCACTATCTCGTTTGTTACTTTTTTTTTAGAAAAAAATAACTTGAGGGTTAGGTCTACTATTTTAAATAAAAACAAATTTTTAATTAATTTATCTAAATTTATTTTAAAATTAGCCCCGGAAGAAGGTCCTTCGTCAGTAGAGTGTGGTGGTGTGACATCGACCGCTCTCAGAGTGAGCTGGCAGCCAATACCCCCTCACAGACAAGCAGGAGCTCTTATTGGCTACACAGTACTTTATGCAGCCCAAGGTATGCCCATACTTCCTTAAAAGGTAACCGCTAACTACATCAGCTAGCAAACTATTCACGGATTGTTCTTATCTTAGTGATTACAAAATTTTGAGACATTTACGAAATAAAATTAAAGTGGAACTCCTTCAATGCTATTAATACCACCGGATTCACAATGACTCATTCATTTTTCAGTTTTAAATATTTTACAGAATCTATACAGAATCACAAATAGAAAATTGTAGAAACAAATAAAAATTATCCCTCAAGACACCCAAAAAGCCACCCCTAAAATTTCGCAAAACGAATAAAATAATAAAACGGCAAAACTCGAAGTCGGAACATCGTTATAAGATGTTAAGAATTCATCATTGAAATGTACATTACATGAAACTTTGAGTCCTACGAGCGCGCAGAACTTCCGCGGCGAATACACTCAAACGCCTCGGGCAGTTCAAAATTTATGTAAACTAACAAAACTCCGCAGCGCGACAATGGCAGAACGCGACGTCGCTGGTGACGGAGCTGCGCTTGCAAGGATTGCACAAATACACAAACTACACCGTGAAAGTAGCGGGCTTCTCCAACTATGGCACCGGTCCGTTCTCCTTTCCTATTGTCTGCGCCACCCTGCAGGACGGTAAGTGATTCAGATGTCACAAATGCCATTGTTGAGTCAAGTCAAGTTGCGAGCGGGAAAACAAAAGCGTCTTTTTATTTGTAACGCAATACGAATGTTTTTTATGTTTTTTTCGTGTACTTTCAACAAGTTGTGATGGGGTGTTTTTTCCGTTGGAAAAGATATCAATATCTGTTATTTCGAATACTTAGCTTTTAGTTTACATAACAGATTTAAAGTAATTTGAGGAAGCGTAGGTTATCATTTTTTATGGTTAGTGAATGGTAATAGCGTCTGGAATTGTTTGAGTATTTAATTGCCAGTAATTCAATGAAAATTGGCATTTTTCTTAAGTATTTCTTTTATTAAGTGAATAGGTTTTTACTGAGCTAGCGCGCTTATCATCAACGGCTGCATCGCCACATACCATCAGGTGGGTTAGCAGTGAAGTGTTGGCCAGTTTGGAATTGAAAAACAAAATATTAGTCTGTCTCTTTATACCTACTTATAATGTATAGTAAATGATTTTTATATTAGATACATTATCTTAATTCTTGTGTGGTGTTTTCCCTGTGGTACACTAAGTAGGAAGAGGCAGGCATATCAAGGAATATACCAGTATAACGACCTCCCTGAAGACCATCGTGATGTGGAAGAAGTATCATACTTTTGCTTTTCGTCTAGTGACTGAGGTTACCGGGGTCTATACTTTTAAAGGTCGGCAATGCATCTACAACCCCCTAATTGTTGCATATTTCCCTGCGAAACGGTAATCACTTAACATAACGAAAACCGCTTCAATAATTCTAAAAATTCTTTAGTTTTCTACTTATAGTAACATAATTTTAGTCCCGGATGCCCCAGCTGAGATTAAACTGCTATCACAGTCCTCAAACACTCTGCTCGTGAGCTGGAAGAAGCCAAGACAGCCCAACGGTAGAATGCTTCACTATACCGTATATTGTAAACCAGCTGCAAGGTGATTTTCTTTCTTCGATAATATTTATACTCATCTTTGTACACATATTAGTCTCACCATAAATCTTCATTCTACCTTTCATACGTATAATTTCTAATCGCGCCAAAAACTTTAACTCGGGGTTTTAATTGAAAAATTCACTTTGTGTACAGCGGATAAAATTTGGACTGTTTTACTTTTTAATGAAATTGGACTTCAATATTAATCAAATTAATGGGATATTAAAATCTTAAATTTTTTAATCATTTCTAATCATTTGACGTTCAATTTTGGTAAATTTTTCATATTGAATTTGATTTTGTTTTTATTTCGAAACATGTCTAGTCTACTTTGAAACATCAATGTTGCCATATCGACAGTACAATTCATAATAAGCTTAAGGTTTTTGTGAATGTTTAAAAAAAAACATTTAAAATGTCGTTGTGAGAACGTTACAAGAACCTAAAAAAAAATGCTGTGAAATTTTAGTAACGACGGGCCACAAATTCTTCGAGTGGATGCTGAAGACAGTTTAGACGTTTATGAGAAGACAAAGACCATGGAGTTAAAGGCATTGTTCGAAGGTCGTCAGTATGACGTGTGGGTTACCGCAAGCACTGCGGTCGGGGAGGGACCTGAAAGTAAACACGTTACAAACACCCCTTCGCAAAGAGGTGAGACTATAAATTCAGTTATAATTTTCAGTTATAAATCGATAAATACGTCTCTTTTCTGTTTGAGTTGGGGTAATTGGACACGTTAATGAAAGAGCACGAGTGAACCAAGACTGACCTATATTCGGTATTCAATTCCCACGTTATGATTTACAAATACCCACATGCAGTTACATAATCGAAATACCTACATAATAACCATATTATGCTATGTGATGGTGTAGTCGGTAAAATTTTGAAGAATTAGTTCAACTTTTAAATGTAGTAAATTACAATTAGATTGAATATTTTGAAAGCCATTATTGTCGGGATTCTATAGGATTTTGTTACTAGAAACAGAGCCCTCTAGGATTTCGCTAGATCGCTAAAAAAAACAGGAGCACCTTCAAACGACACAAATTCATATACTCTGCACTCAATTCAATTTGTCTTTTCACCCTTTCCTTGCAGATTATTAATAGTAGATCACGTTCTAAGTCCCGGGACAGCTTCAAGTGCTGATTTATTGGTCCTTTTACTTTACTTTAGAACTCTAAAATTATGAATGTAATTTATCACAATATGTCGAGTTTGGTTGTCGAGAATTTGCTTTTATTAGCCATTAGAGTACATTGAGTAGATTTGTATAACTTCGTAAGATCGCGAGTCCCACAAAGTGTGTTGCTAAAAACATCATAAGGTATTATTATTAACGTAAGAACTATAATTTATAATTTTTTGTATGAGAAGCGTTGTCCAACGCGTGTTACAGTTATTGACAAGTGCAAACCAAAACTAAAATATGAATCATAAAAAGGAAAAACAAACAAACAAACGACGGATTGAGTCAGTAACGGACTAAAAAAGATTAAGTTTTAAGAAATCAAACTTTAAATGTAGGAGATATTGACCTATGTTAAGCTCCTTTGACTATGGGACTCTTTATGTTGACAGTGGTAGCTGGTGTGGCGTCTTTAGGCGGGGAAGTTACAGTAGCAGTACGTAACTCTTTACTGCTGGAGTGCAGGAGTGTCGGATCCCCTCCGCCGAGGACCGTTTGGTATCACAACCAAAACATTATCACCCATCATCCGCGCTTCACGAGAAACAGAGACGATAGTTTGCTGATTAAAAGTAAGAAAGTATCTTCATAAAATATTCAAGTTTACCTAAGTTTAAGAAACATAAACTGATTAAAATCTATGCATTAGTTGCTTATCAATGCGTAACGATCACCAGTTTTCAAAGAGTCTTTATTTGCAGGCATTGATCAATCTTTGAGTGGCAACTATACTTGTTTGGCCAAAAATCTTTATGGTTCGGATTCCGTTGTGTATTCGGTGAGAGTTCTACCTTTGCCGGACCCACCTATATTAAGAACGACCCCTTACAAGGATTCCATTGTTGTGGAATGGGATGAACTGAAAGCACATGGAAACGATTCTTTAGTATATGGAATAAGTGAGTAGTTTACGTAATAACGTTTGCCTTACAATATAACACTTTGGATAAGCAAGAAAAAATTTAACATCGCAAATTTAAAATGCTTTTTTTAAATGTTAAAAACATTAAACTATGTTTTTATTAAATAAAAACTATGTTATTCGTACGGGGTTTTTTTGAGTTAAATTCAATTTGCTTGAGAAAATAGAATTTATTTGAGGATATTTTAGGTTATAATTTGACTTGGCGGGAAGGCGATGGACCGTGGCAAGAGGCGTGGCCCGCAGCCCGGGAGACCCGTCTGCCGGGGGTGCAACAGCATGCTTTGGCCGGTTTGAAATGCGGCACTAAATATTCTATACGGGTGACCGCGACCGATAGCGTTGGGACTTCGGCCCCAGCGCATGTCGACGTTATGACATTGGGAGGCGGTAAGCTAAGCCCAAAGTGATATACAGTTAGCTATTTAGGTTCTTGTTTATAGTTCAGTAAATTACCATGAATTCGATGATCTCATTCACCGTTTATTCTAGCTGAATCGTTTTTAAAAAGTACAAGGAAAAATAAGCTGTGTGATAATGGCTGGTCACATTGCTCATAAAACATAAAGCTACAGCAAACAGTCGAAACGACTTAAAACACATCTAAAAATAATGAAACTGAAAGTATTTTACAACATTCGTTTTCGTGTTGAACCAACAATAAGAGAAATCTCGTACCGATTAAATGAATAATTACACCCATGCTTTCTTTCTCCGCAAAGGACAAAGCTTACATTTACACCACTGACTGAAAATGACAAAACACAACAGTACAGAAGCTTATGCCGATTAAATGTTTCCAGCGCCGGTGTCGCCACCTACGACCGATTGGCTTTGGAGTAACGCTACTCACATATACATTCAACTGAGTGGTTGGGATGATGGCGGATGTGACGTAACAAAATGGGACGTAGAATACAGGCTGCTCGGTTCCAATGTATGGCAAAGGGCCGAAAACAGAGCGGTATCGTGGTTATATAAATCTTTGTTTTTAATCTTATTTAAATATGTTAGATAAAAGACTTGGAGATTTTCGTCGGTGTGCCAATGACACGTGTTTAGAGGTGAAAGCGTCGGGGTGCGAATCTCGATGACTTGGGTTCAATTCTCAAAGCGGTGAAGAACTTTTCGTACTTTTTTCTACACACTTTAATGTTTCATTTAATGTTTAAGTGTAGGCTCGTTCGAATTATCCTTGTAAAACGATATTCGAAATTGTTTGTATGCTGTAATGGATGCGCCAAGCATTGTTGATAAGCACTAAAAATGTTTATATCTTTAGGGTTTTTTTTTTTTCTTTCTTTTTGCAGCCTATGGAACTGAATTTGGGTTGGGGATTCATTGATGGGCATTATCAGGCACCGCCCTTGAGGTCCATACCGGCGTCTTACGCTGTGGGATCGCTTGCTCCTGGGAACTGGTACCAGCTAAGGGTGTCAGCAGTTAATGATGCTGGTACTGCGTCAACAGTTTATACGTACGCCACGAAAACGTTAGATGGGGGTAAGATTATACATGTGCCTTACACGATTTAGGGTGAGACGCAACTGCCCATTCGTGCAACAGCGAAGACTTGCATTATTGAATTTTTTTTAATTTATTGAGGTTTAAACATTGTATGGGTATACACACAATCTAATATATAAAATTCTCGTGTCACGGTGTTTGTAATTGAACTCCTTCGAAATGGCTTGAACGCAGCAAATCGGACAACATTTATTTTTCATTATTTTTCATCCCCCTAAATGTTAAGGATGATCCACCCCAAACATTTTTTTCTTCCCTACAAATAATTTATATGGCAAAACAACGTTTGCCGCGTCAGCTATATATATATATATATATAGTTATCCGTTCTAGGAGTTGTTTGATCCAGCGTTACGTATGATCAGTTTTTTGTTGATCCGCTTAAATTTTTTGATCCATACCCGATTTGTTGATCCAATACCATATGTATGTGATTTTGTGGCTCCATTCGGATCAACAATTGCTCGTCAATATCTTTTTGAAAGTAGCTACAATTTATACAAATCCACTCCGTACTTATTTGATCCAATTCAAACGGACGAATCACAGATCACTGCAGCATTCATTGGTTGAAATCATCACTTTACGTCAGTACCTACTTATTAAGAAGAATTACTGTATCTCGTGAATATGATATTTGTTGAAATACATGCTTTAAAGGGTCAGCAATATCTATCGCTCGCGCGCTTTTCAGATTCACGTGCAACACAACTATAATATTTTAGATTATTTAAGAATTTACTTCTAAATCAATATTTAAAAAATAATGTTGAAGAATAAATAAGACTTGGAGTGTTCTAGTCGTATCTTCAATAGTTTATAAGTAATTTTAATAGCAATGGAGAATACCTGATAGGTAACAACAAGTCCAAGTGTACAATAATTTTAAAAATTATATAAAAAACAGAAAAATAATAAACAACATTTTTCGTAATTCGTTTATTTATAAGAAAGCATCTGTTCACAAAACCAAATAAAAAATTAATTAAATTATAATTTTTTATGTATAAGTAACAACGTGATAAATTATGATTTTAATAAAATGGTTCCATAATGTTAACACTAAACAACAAAAATTTGTAATTTAGAAAAAGCGTTTTTAGCAGTGAAAATTTTTTTTCTTAAATGTCATATTTTCAATATTTCAATGCCTTAGATTGGTAATAAAACAGTGAAAAATTTGATTTTTTTGGCAATCATTTCTAAACTATTTTCAAGAAGTGACAAGAATATTCTGGGTTAGACTACATAGAAATAATCTTAATTTTTTTGTCGTTTTATAATTTATTCATGTGTCTAGAAAGAACTAAATTTTTTTATTCCTTAATATTCTATTTTATTTGGTTAAAATAATCTTTTAGAGTTCCGTACCCAAAGGGTAAAACGGAACCCTTATTACTAAGACTCCGCCTTCTGTCTGTCAGTCTGTCCGTCTGTCACCAGGCTCCACGTTGTATCTCATGTCGTAATGGTGATAGTTAGACAGTTGAAATTTTCACAGATTATGTATTTCTCTTGTGCCAAATAAAACCATAATTTTCGTGAAGTTAAACAGGTTTTCGTTAAAAAAGCACTTGTTAAGTAGACTATAAGATTAGATTTAATAAAAATCACTTACTTTTCGCTCAGTTCTTTGAGTTTCCCTTTTGATGTAAAGATTTGTCCGATAAATCGCACATTATCTCTTAACTTATCTAACTTTAACCCACTGAATAGCACTAGCTTAAATAACATTATTGATTACATAATAAACAATAATAATTTATTCTCTTGTAAACAAATTTAACAGTTAATAAAACTAAAATATTGTCATCCTCGTCTCTTTAAAGAAATTTTCTCAATACATCATTTGTCGCATTACATTGCGACCGTTGTTGATCCGTTTCCTAGTGCAATAGTAGCAATATATTGTACAACTAGCTTGCGCCCGCGGCTTCGCCCGCACATTATATCGTGCTTAAAAATACCTACGGAACCCTTCGTGCGCAACTCCAACTCGCACTTGGGTGATTTTTTTAACTTTATATAAACCATCATTTTACAGACCATAGTTAACTATAGTTTCACCGCACAAATCTACAATGTGGTTCTTTAAGTTGATATAACTATTTTATTTCATCCGACTTAAATAAAACTAACAATAAATGTTAAGAGAAGCTTACTACAATGCATTTGTAAAAGTTGCACTGAAATCGGAAAGGCCGTTTTAGCCAAGTTAGCGCACACAGACAAACAGATAAACAGACAATTATTTTAACTATCATTGTTTTGGGTTCTACTGCGTTGATAAAGGCCCCTAATAATAGTTTTTCTCAAATGTCTTCCATGAACAAACAACAATCAGTAAAATTTTTATATATGTATGATATTCTTTGAGCTCATAGTTCGCCGCCGCGCCAGTTGCTTAAATCAACTCGGGATAATATTTGGATGCCTACTTAGGAGTACAGCATTTTGGGCTTCACCTCAATCGAATTAATACAAGCATAACAACAAAACTATACACTTTATAGTAAGTAGGTATTTTGATAATGTCCGAAGGATTCATTAATATGCAAGCGATAATATCTACAATATTAAATTATTTATTCACTAGCATTCTATGGTTAACTAATTAATAAGAAATAGGGTATAACCATCTCTTTGTCAATTATATTTATCTAGGTTATTATATTCGACATATAGTAACAGTTTACTCAATAGAAAATGTACATGGAAATTCAGTTCTTATTACAAACACTGTGGAATTAATTTTACGAACACTGACGTCGAGCTGCGTATGTGCGCTCACAGGGATCAAGAAATGTTTAAAAAGTGCCTGAGAAAAAACCGTTACGCGGAGCCAAAAATAGTAAAAGTATAAAACAACGGTTAGAGTATATTGCTGAATTTAGAAATCTGCTTTCCGGCCTTTAAAATAAAGGTTAAGAGCAAGTAAATTTGGACAGAAAGGTGGATCAACAAAGTAAAAATTCTCTCTCTTAAATATCTTAAGTTTCAATTAAAAATGTGTAAGCATAGACTATTGTTACATAAGTGGTTATATACATGATTAATATTTTTTATAAACAAAAAGCAATTTCAACGAAGAGGCTCGCTACTCCCAAGATGAACTCGTCGAATTTCTGACATTAGATGAATTCTGACAGACTTTATCATTGTTGAAGGAACAAAGTTTTACGTTCATCAAAAGTTTTGTTATTACAACCTTTAAGAACTTCTCCCGCTTCTAACGGCACGAGGTTGAACAAGAATGGTAAAATTTAAATGAATATATTTATATTATTATTTTGTTGGTTTAAATTGCAATATCTTTCACAAATACAAATACATCACAATACCAAATACAAACCTTTAGCTTTACTATGTTTTAGGTAATGTCCAACATGCTTTCATATATTTTTAATATAAAAATTGTAGAATTTATTTTGAATTTTAGATTAACTTTATTAGAATTTTTATTTAGTTACTTAATAAAGGTATATATACAAATATATCAAGCTAGTAACAAGTAATTGAAATACAAGTAAAGTCATGATTAGAAAATTGAAGTGTTGCTTTGTAAAAAATGTAGTAAGTTAAAAGTTAGAAAGGGGTAGGTATATGTACACATGTCTAAATTTTTCGTCTTTGAATTAATTTTGGAAAGCGGATAAAAATATCATGATTCCTCCAACAGATTATTCAGGACAATGTCGTAGTTATGCTCATGAATTACAATTTTTTTTGCAGAAGAAATCGGCCCGCCCTCAGAGCTACTCGATCTGAACATGCTCGTGATAATATGTAGTTCCATTCTTCTAATAATTTGCCTTCTCGCTTTCATCTGCATACTGATCAGAAGACACAGGTAAAAACTAGCGCTATAAAAGGTGTTATATACATCATGTCATCAAAAAATGTCATACACAATGCAGATTATCTCACCCCTCAAATATCACTTTTATCCCTCACTTATCCTGATCCAATAATCTGAGAAATGTACTATAAATTTCCTCAGATTGTCACTTTTTCTTCAGTACCAATTTACTCGACATATATTGCTTAAAATTAGCAAGAAGAGCAGCTTTGGATTTAGGAAACAATAATCTTTTTAAATGGACTATGACAATTCAGCAAACTTAGTATGGTATAGTGTAATTAGTAAGCGTTATGCACTACGAGTTATTCCTAACTGCTGATAAAAAAATAAACGAAACTGATACATCGCGATTTTTTCAAGCCAAAAACACAATTGAAGGTCCGGAAATAATTCGACTAAACGCCAAGCTTACGGCTCAACGGCGTTCTTAAGCAGAATTACTCTTCTAGGCTGGGCTACTCGTCGCAGTACCGTCATTCGATCGCCGATGAAGTGAAGTCACGGAATGAAGGCATCACCGCCCACACCGAACACAAGGAGCGATACGCGCAGACCCCACGCATTTACACGTCACCGATACATCCCAGAAAGCCTAATAAAAATGGTGAGCAAAAATCAGAACGTTATCATTTTTGGCGCTGTCTTCATTTCCACGTAACAACGTAATGATGTGTTCGTCTTTTTCAACCGACTTCAAAAGAGGACGAGGTTCTCAATACGACTGTATTTTTTATGTTTGTTACCTAAGTTCGAATGAGTGAACCGATTTTGATGATTCTTTATTTTATTTGAAAGGTAGTGCTTCCCATATGGTACCATATTAATTTCATTGGTATTGGATCTTGGGCTCCGGAGATACTCAGGGAACTCCGGAAAATCAATTATAATATGAAAACGGAGCGAGTTATTTGAAGTTGGTTTTGTTTTTCGTTAATAAAAAAATGGATTGCTCTCGAGGGTGATCTAGAGTTTATTTATTTAATCTTTATTGCACAGAAAATTGTACAAAGGCGAGCTTAATATATTGCATTCTGTACCAGCTAGCCCTAGGTAGAACAGAAACAAAATGTTATAGTTTCATTGGCCATAAGGTTTTTTTATACGAAACTGCCAAGTGCTTGTACCTTATCCCACCTGTTCACCAGTGATCTACCGACTTGATTCTTTTTCACATGATATGGTAACACATACGTTATAGATCAACTTCAATATCTAATTATTAAAGTTACTTTCAACATGTGCGGTATTATACATATAATTCGAATGTAAATTGCTCACGTAATGATGGATTCGACGAAATCACTGATTAATGTATTGGTAACTTTTAGAAATGTTCGAAATAAGCCCGTACGCCGAATTTGCGCTCGGCTTTCGTACATTTGATCATGTGGAAAATCAGGACCTCCCAAGCAGACTACCAGGACGACCAAGGTTCGACACCGGTTAGTAAGATTACTTTCTTTTATAGTTCGTATAAATGTCTATATCATTATTTGCCAGTATTTCATAGTAGATAGAATGTAATAGCGTATTTCAGAAAAAATCTTCATGTTTTCATCTTGTTACTGATCCGTAAATGTTGGTATTAAATTTTTTTTTCTATAAAAGTTGCCAAACGAGGAGAAGGGTCACCTGATGTTAAGTAAATACCGCCGTCCATGGACATCTGCTACACCCGAGGTTTACAGATGCGATGACAACCTTTTGAAAATTGGGCTCCGGCCACGTCACTCGCCAGACGAAACGCGAAAGTATTTGTCATACTTCCACTTTACGCTGGTCTTCTGTGAGGTCGTGGTACTTACCCGGACGGTCCTGCCCATTCGTGCCACAGATGCTGCTGCGTGGCCCTATCACCGTCAAATTATCAAAATATATCAAACTCTGTCATTATCATCATCATCAAAAATTCTACGGGAATGTGCGCTGTAGGATATAGGCTAATCCCAAGGCAATATGCAAAATGCGAAGAGATACCCTACGTATTCGTATGCGCAGTATCCTATTACAATTATTTTAAACCGGGAATGTTTTTTTTTTTTTGATTAGAAACAAGTTTCCAGACCCGTTCGGAGTCAGACGACAGCGATAGCACGTCGAAGGCCACAGTTACTGCCATGCCTCGACGTAAGTATTTTATTATATTTGTACTATAATTAACATGTGTATATACTTTCATTTACAACAGTTTATATTTTAACAGTGTTTTCTTTTTATTTATTTCTTTTGACATCTTTCTGTGCACCTACCGAATCTTCTCTGTAGCACCCCAAGGTTGACTGGGAGATAATTAATGCCTGTGGCATTAAGTCCGCCTCTGTACAGCTTGTGCATAAAGTGTAAATAAATAAATAAATAAGTAGGACCTGTATGGTTCTTTCGAAATTCTTTATGATATAACATTTTATTACCTTTTACTAACTAAATTAATTTTAATAACTAAAGTTTTTATATCGTCTCGAAGCGATTGTCAGGTTTAATCAGCGTATTTTGAAACATTTCCTTGTATTGTCTTAGTTGGGAGTGATTTTTCAAGTTACAATACAATTCTGTTGGGGCACAGATTTCATGGTATCAGGTTCTTACAGAATTATTATGATTAATTAATTTCCTATGATTTGTATTTTCATTGAAATTAATCTTTGCAATCAATTAATGTCAATGAAAATTGAAAACTTTGGAATGGGTTTATTAGAAAATTTATCTGTAATTATTATAGCAAATTTATATATTTTCTTTTCCTTGCAGGGCACTGTCGCACACCGCACCATAGATAACAAGATAAACGTGAACCGAATGAAAAATATTTTAAGTGTTAATTTTTAGTGAAACTTTTTGAAATAATCATATCACGATTTAAAGGTATAACTTTGCCAAAGAATAGGAGGGTAGTCATAGACTAAATGAAATCAACATTAATTTCACTTCGATTAAGAGCCCACCGGAATTTTTCGAGCTAACTATATTCGCCAAATATTATCTTTGTTAAAAGACTGATGATTACTTACGTATTAAATAAGTTATATAAAGCGTCGATTGAAAGTGATGTGCCAAGACCGTGTTTGTATTTCGCTTATAAAATTATCTTCTTGCTTTCAATACGACGGTAACTGTATTGTTTAATTACTGACGTTTTTTCTTGTTTTTTTAAATTTATTTACAATACGTTATTTTATCTTAGACTTAAGTCACCAAAGTATGTGTAATAACTGTTTATGAGCAAGATAAAAGTGCAGATGGAAGTTTTAATAAAAGTAATTCGAATATATCATTGGTGTTTCTTTGAAAATCTAAGTGATGTTCAGTTTCTAAAGTTAAAGAATCTAAAGAGCACATTCTCAAGATAATAAATTTATCTGGAAACAATTTTTGATGAAATGTTTGATTTATTATATTCCAATTTTCAAGTTTGGAAAAATATTGTTTATTCTTTAACCATCTTTTGCTATACCAATATTTTTAAATAGTAATCTTGTCATAGGCTGTTATAAATTTACTGTCTTAATTATTGTCAATAAATGTTTGCAGAATCAGTATAATTTTTTTCTTTTATCTCTTTTTGTTGTTTTTTTTTTTGTAACAAAATGTGACTTACCTAGATCTAACACAGCTAGCCGTTCACCGCAGATCGTGCATTCAATTACAAACCACAAGGCAAGGCACACACACAAGATTCGCTGACACGATAAATAATTATCCTTCTTGAGCGCATTTCAATATGTCTGTTACAGCAATGCCAAATATCAAATGCAAACGCTTCTCATCTTATTAGCAAGCTCACCTCAAATACCCGTTTCTTCCCATTGATCACACCAATTTCAATACCTTGATTAACATGTATTTCCAGTGTTTTGGAACATATTTCAAAGATTAGTGTGGTGTGACCTAGATAAGGTTTAGTGTATTCGCCCATAAATTTTTGCTTGCATAAAACGTTCCCATAATTTCACTCTTCGGCGCTAGTTCCGCAAAAATAACATTAATCATTGTGACGTAAACAGGAAAACTTTTAAATGAGATAAGGAAAGTAAAGGAGATGAAACTTGGCGTCTCATTGGAATTGTGTTTTTGGGAATGCTCTTCAAAAATAAGAGCTAAAGTTATTTATAATAGATTTAGACGGGCTTAAGCTAAATACCTATGTATATTTTTTATATGAAAAGTTATCAAGCGAGCAGATGGTTCACCTGATGTTAACTAAATACCGCCACTCATGGACATCTGCTATACCCGAGGGTTTCAGGGCGTTGAAAACCTTTGGGCTCCAGCCACCTCACTCATCAGACGAAACGCGAAAGTACATATTATACTTCCACTTTATGCCGGTTTTCTGTGTGGTCGTAGTACTTACCCGAACGAGGCTGCCCATTCGTGCAACAGCCGAGGCTGCTGCGTGGCCCTGCCACCGTAGTACTATAATATTGACTTCGTCTGACGTTGGGAATTACATAATCAAAATTACGTATTTTACGTAAACTAGTTTCAATTAATATTTATGTATTATTTATGAACATCAGAAGTAATTAATGAACATAACTTCGTAATAATAATCAATATTAGAGAGGGCTGTTTGGCATGCCCCAGCCCAGAGATGACAATAGTGGATTACTACCGTGGAAGCATGTGGCCAAATTTGTGCTTTGTAGAGGTAATAGCTGCTGGTCTGCGACTACGTCTGCGTAGAATAGGCTGAAGGCGTAATATTCAGACAGAAAGACAGATATACGTTAAATATGTATACAAGTTATAGCCTATGTGTTATTCTGATGTATAAGCTATATTATTGTAAAGTTTAGTAAAATCCATTCAGTAGTATTTGCGTGAAAGAGTAATAAACATATCAGTAAGGATTAGCGCAAATAATACTGTCTTGCACTTCTAAGGACATCGAGCATATTAGTAGCCAGCATGGCTTTCCCTTTCAATCAGTAAGCATAATTACAGACAATCCATCACTGAATGTCACTGAGTCAGTGAATTTTTTTTTATGCGAAAAGTTGCCAAACGAGCAGACGGTTCACCTGATGTTAAGTGAATACCGCCGCCCATGGACATCTGCTACACCCGAGAGACAACCTTTTGTTACAGATGCGTTGACAACCTTTTGGAAATTGGGCTACGGCTACCTCACTCACCAGACGAAACGCGAAAGTATTTGTCATACTTCCACTTTACGCTGGTCTTCTGTGAGGTCGTGGTACCTACCCGGACGGGCCTGCCCATTTGTGCAACAGCCGAGGCTGCTGCGTAGCCCTACCACCGTAGAACAGACTTAGACAAATTTGCGTGTTATAATTTCTAAAATGTGTTAACGAACTGTTTTCCCGATTTCTCTTAAGATCCGTCATCGCACCGCGCTCTACACCAACCTTTAGGCTAAACGTCCGCAGCGCCCGGCCACCTTAAGCCCAAAATAAATAGATCTGAAAGTTAACTTAATTCCAAGAGTGAATGATCAAACCAACCACGCTCCATTCTATATATCTATCTGTATAATAATATTGTATCAATACTCTGTTCCTTTAACGGATTGATCTTAGTTTGTTGATATAAATTACAAACCGTACGGGTATTACAAATGTCCATGAGCGGTTGCCATCTTCTAACATAAAAAACAAAATACCTATAAGGGTCATCAGAGTTCTTTTTGATTTTATGAAGAAATATTAAAAGGTGGGCAATATCTGAAACGTATTAACGCAATTTCCTAACTTTCCTCACTCAAATTAGATTTCAACAGGTTCTTCAGGATTTGGCTGGTAGATAATGGAATTTTAAATTATAATTTTAAATTTCATTACAACCAGCGTACATTTTTTTTTTCTTGAATCACCAACGAATCATTCAAGTTGAGCTTATGTCCAGTCTCGCAATGGTGTTACATTCCTTCTGATTACCAAGAGTTTTTTGGAATATTAACCTTAGAGATTTTTCAATATAAATAATAGTATAATCATGTATTGTGGTGGGCCACGTATAATTCTTCTCTGCTGCACGAACGGGCAAGTCCGTCCGGGTAAGTACTACGGCCCCACAGAAGACCGGCGTGAATTGGAAATATTACACTTGTAATTTTTGTAAAACTATAAATATTACAGTAACGGCACTCTAAGCAAAATGTTATGAACAGATATTGTAGGTAAAAGCGAATACTTTGGTTGGATTATAAACTTTTCTCATAAATAACTGTCGGCGAGGCCCGTCCGTCCGCCAATCTGGTAGTAATTTCAACTTGCCAACTTTTATTGTTGTTTCTCATTTTTACCTTGCTGTTTATTATTTAAATAAATTGACTATGTTGACTTGGCTTCAATTAACTACTTCTAGTAACAATCAACTTCCTAGCGATGGTACTAGCTTCCAACCGAATAAGTCCAGTGTAATGCTATTTTCAATATGTAATCTAAAAACGGTTACTGCAATTCAATGCACCATATGAACCTATCCCCGTCCTTCAGCCGTGATAAGTCATTGTCTAGGCTGCTGGCTGCCGCTGGCTTTTAATTCAATATACTCACTCTAGCAGCCAGACTTCGATACCCGATTCCGGAACCAATGAAATTGTTAATTTTAAGCGCTGACTTATCACGTGCTCACTGGTGAAGGAAAACTGCAGTAGGGCACAGCGTGGTGGACTATGCCCTGATACCCTCTGTACAGAGGAGGCCTTTACCCAGCAGTGGGGCACGGATAGAATGTTAGTTTACTTTTTCCACCGACCTCAAAAAAGGAGGAGGTTCTCAATTCGAATGTAATTTTTTATCCTCGTTACCTCAGAACTTTCTATTGAGTGAACAGTTTTTATGATTCTTTTTTCTTGTAAGCTGGTGCTTCCCATGTAGTCTCATATTAATTTCATTGTTATTGGATCTCGGGCTTTAGAGATGCTTAGGGAACTCCTGAAAATCATTTATAAAATGAATACAGACCGAGATACTTGAAGTCGGTTTTGTTTATCGTAAACAAAAAATACTTGTTACTTTTTAAAATCTTTCACTATTGAAAATTTCACACAATCATTTTGAAACTGATGTGGAATGAAGAGAGACCAAGCACTTATAAAAATCAATGTTTAAAAATTTATATGGATCTATCACTTATAATAATATTACGATCTATCACTTATATAATCTAATATTTGTTATTAGTTTATTAATTTTAGTGTTAGTCTGTACTCAAGAAGTAAATTAAAGCGAAGTTTTTTAATACATAACGTTTTTGGCCCTACTGGGTTTCACACCTGAATATTGTGAGTAGCGCACTCACTGGCTCACTGCACTGAAATCCTCACAGCGCGAAAATAGGCAACTATCTAATTTTTATTTCACACTTTTATCAATACCCGATGGGTTGCATCATCATATATTTGACAACTTGCTAACACATTCGGGAGCTTAGCTCAGTTTGCCAGAGCGTTTCGTCGTTTCACCAAAACCAAAAATTTTTCAACGGTGTATCTGTTAAAAAAATTATACTCGATTTTCAGCATGTCAACACTCAATTTATACAATATAATTGTATTGGAACGAAGTTCCTTATCGCGCGTTGTGAAAGGGGGCTAGACGGAAAAAATTCTCACGAAAAGTTGTAACGACACTTTTTGCTATAGTAAGCTATTGTAAGCTTGCGGTGTGCGCATGTTTCTCTGTCTGTTGTTTGTCTGTCAGACAGACAAACATGACAGTTTCTAGAGGAAGAATTTGATTTAAGAATTAACAATAATCCAGCAGAATCAACAACAAAATATAATACTACCATTGATGCAGTTTTTGCA